TGAGAGCAGCAGAGAGAAATATGTCCACTGACTCATTAGCAGTTTCACGTGGAGCTCCGTTTTGTTTGCCTTAATGTTTTAGACACAAAAAGAACAAAAACAAACAAACAAAAAATATCCTGTTGTAGATCCCCATTCTCCTAGAACTAGAATCTCACTGCATGTTATCAGGCTCCACTGCATGGAGCTGGTCTTTTCTCCAGCAAGAGGAGTCAGAAACAAACATGGTCTTGAGCAATTAGAGTACCCAAGTGACTGACCACAGTGAATGGTTTAAGGATAGGTTTAATATCCACATCAGGACAATCAAGGTCTGTAGGGTTTTTTCCAGCCCTCTTTTCCCTGGGGTGACCATAGCTGGTTTTATTTTTCTTGACAGAGAATGAAGAGAGACCATATCCTAATTTTGTTTTAATTCCCTGGATCCATCCATGCCTGAAGCCCTTATCCTTGACCTTCCCACTCATCCTTAAGCCAGATTGCATAGTTTCTGTCAGCTATGACGAAAAATGTACTGACTAATACAGGTCATGTATTTCTTATGTGCCACAGAAATGAGTTTGTTAAATAAAAGGCAATATTTATATGGAAAACTCTGAAGAGAAGGAAGAAAATAAAATATATTGCACTGTATTGCACTGCTTCTTGAACCCTTAGGCTCAAGTTATCAAAAATCCCCACGACAACAGAACTAGCCCTGGAAAAGTTCATGGAACTTGTTTAACAAAAACAAGGCTAGAGGGTCAAATACACTTACAAGTATTTATTAAGTTCACAGGAATCAAGCAATTTAACATTGAATACATATAATGTTACTGATTTTAAAGTAAACTTTAATATAGATATCAATTTCTATATACTATCTTTGATTGCTATAATTTCTCTTGAAATTTTTCCAGAAAGTGCTCCTTCTCATTCCCAGTGAAGTGGTTATAAATTTCCTTTGCTTTCTTGCATACTAAGAAGTATTAAGTCTAAGCCTCCTTCCAAATGGTCAACACTTTCTAGATTTTATGACTTTGACTCGTTTGTGCCTAAATCTCCAATCTTTCCAATGATGCAGAATAATCTGAATGCTTGAGATGGGAAAAGCTTCATGTAGCTTTTGTAATAATTTCTGTATGTTTTTCTCAACACTTGGGCTAAATAATTTTCACTCTTCCTTTGATAAGTTTAGGCTGTAGCACAAATCACCATCTTGTCCAGGCAGGATTCAGCCTCAACACCTCCTCACAAGCTCTGGAGTGCTTCCTTTCTCTCCCCACAGGATATATTACAGAAGTCTTTGTCCTGGTTCTGACATTACTGAGGTTGTTTAGCAGTTTAATCATTCATGGGCTACTGAGAGGAGCTGACCTCTTGCGATGCTGCCTCGCAGGCATCAGAAATTAATATATTTATCTTTTTATCCCCATTTTTTTGGATATATTTCTGCTCAATTTAAGTGAGGACTGCCCATTAAAGAAAACTGATAAATTGATGGCAAGGCTATTTTAAGACACTCTCTGTTCTGGATGTAAAAACAAGATGATTATAGGGACTTTGGTATTCAGATTCATGATGTTAGCCTGAGTTCTCTTTACTATTTCAGTTAAACAAGTATTATTATAAAGTTGGAGGTGAGAGGCTTTATTAGAAACTCAACTTCATTCCATCTCTAAGAACTATGCAAATTAACCAGGTGCTTTTTTCAAAGGTATTATAGCTCTAAGAACATTGGACAACCCTGGCTCCCGAAAAGTAATAAGATTTGACATATCCCTTTATAGGGTAGGAAGAAACAATAACAATTTAGATACTTCCCTGCCCCATAAAAGTCATAGATTCTTCAGAAAATAGATATATTTGATATTGGTTTCCTGTGCTCTTTGGCCCAACAGAAGAGGTTGTTTTAATGTATACAATCACCACTTAGGAAGCTTGCTAAAATGCAGAGTTCTGGGCAATATTCCCATATATACCAGTTCAGTAGGCCGAGGGTGGGTCTGGGATATAAATTTTAAACAAGCTTCCTAGATCACTCTATTGAAAGTGTTCCATGGGCTATATTTTGAGAAACATTGCCCTAAGGGATAGAATGGTCAGTTGTTTCATGATATCCCAGGGATTCCTACAGTCCCTCCCAGCTGTGTAGAAAGGGAATAAGGTGCTTTGTTATTAGTGCTCCAATAGGTTTTGACTAAGATGGAGAAAGATGGAGGAGAAAGGGCTATTTACTTATGGGTTCAGATCCCCCCTGCCCCCACCAATGGTTTTACCCTTGACTCTAACAAGGACATGATTTGCAACATGGAAGTAACATCTGGCGGCTTGGCAGTCCAGAGTGTAGCTTAGTGTTTGCCCAAGCAGAATTCAGTACCATTTGTGGGCTGGCACCCAGGAATTACAGTTGGTGAGAAGAGTTAAAACCTGCTTTAATTGCTCATGATGCTTTATGATCACGGTCAGGTCATTTATCAGACTCCTACATTTGTCCAGCATAATTTCTGTTCCCCACTCTGAGCTGTGATTTTAACAGATTGTTTCCAGCCAAGGTGGTAGCTGGAGATAGGATGCTGATTCACTGTTAATTAATTTCAGCTGGGAAGAGAACCACAGCAGCCAATGTCCTGTTTTATGTCATTGTTCCGAAGATACTTGGATGGACAGCGCTTTGCTTGCTTTGTTCTCACCTGTGCTTTGATTGTATTCCTTTTCTTCTGTAAAATGTTTCCCTTAGTATTCCGGTTGACTTGAGTGCATAATATTTACTATTAACTAGAATTAGAGTAGTAAAGCAAAGCTTGCAAACTGGAAATCCGCTTTTTGTGAAAAGTCAATGTGGATGTGCAATGTCTCAATTTTCCATAGAAAAATAGTTTGGTAAATGTTGTGTAGATAAGTAAATCTCATTTTGCCAATTTTTTCATATTTCTGTTTTTTCCCTAGGTCCAATAGGATGAGTTGGCTAGAAAAATTAGCAAAATGAATTTTAAGATTCAAGTTGTATGTGATATAAACTAGGCTTACAGACAAAAGCTGAGCAGATAAATGAGAGCTGGATACCCCTTCTCAACAGAAAAATAGAGGACTAGCATATTACTAATTTTGTTATGGTAGCTGACTTTCTTATATGTGCTTCATACAATGAAAATGTACCAACAGACAAGAGGAGTTGCTCTATAATATACAAAATATGCTGTTTTAGCTTGGTACTAAAAATAAGCAGGTGACATCACTTTATGCAGTAGTTGAAGTCTGGAAAACATGTTTGCAAATAGAATTTTTATTTAAAAAATCACATATTAAATTTTCTGGAGGTGGTCCTCTAGTGATTGTTTTTTAAAGGAAAGCTAGCAATTCTTTTCATAAGTTCAGTCCTAATGTTTCCATTTGAAAACAGTATCATATATGAAGGGCCAGGAGAATGTCACCAGGCCATCCAGAGACCTGTATTCCAATCTCATCACTATTTCATGACTTTGCTATAGAATTAAGAAGATTGTATTAGATTATTTCTAAGAACACACTCACATCTAAAATTTCAGGATTCTAATCTCAAGTTTTCAGTGACTGGTTTTGTTCAAAATAAAGGAGGATTAAGACTTAACAGATGTTAAAGTATTCTAAAGCTCTACCATCCATTCCCATAGCCACTAACCACATGTTAATGTTAAATATGGTTGGTCCAAATCGATGCACACTGTAAGTGTAAAGTACACTTTGGACTTCAAAGACTTACTGCAAAATCTTGTAAAATCTCTCATGAATTAATAAGTTTTATGTTGATTATATGTTGCAAAGATATCTTGGGAATATTGCATTGAATAAATCATATTCAAATAAATTCCATGTATTTCTTTTTTAATTTTTAATTTGAACCTAAAAATTTAAATAATTTAAATTTAGGCAATTAATAATGATCTAATATATTTAAAATAGAAAAGTTTTGGCTCACATTATATTTTTATTGGACACACGGCTCTAAAGGGATAGCATATCCTACAAAAGAACCCTCCCGAAGATCGTAGAACTCTCCCTGTTACTCATGGACAGCCTTAATGATATAGAAGAGGTTGTTTGAAGATTAAAACATTATTTTCTAAAAGTATAATTCATTAGTCGTGTGAGGCATATCACCACAGCCAAGTGAGTTTAAGCAACGCTGTGCTCCACTTACTGATTCGTTAGCCTAATGAAAGCTCAACTTTAAGTCACCGGGTTAATGAAAGCTACTTCTTTCATGTGAATCCACAAATTCATCTGAAACAATCCTCTTATTTTTAAATGATAACTGGTAGCATTCTATAGACTCAAAAAAGTTACTTTGGGACATGCTATTGGATTAGATAATTCCTAAACCCCTTTTGTCTGTTGTGGGTTTACAAGCAGTTTATAGAGGCTCATCCCTTACAAATTGTACTTACTTCTTTGTATGCATGCTTCTTTTCTAAAAAAGCCTTCCCCTCTTCTACATAAATTATTTTCTTTCACTTTTCTAGGTGATTTGAAATATTACCAGTTAGGTGTGCTTGTGTTATCAATCACCCTTTTTAAAGAATTCCTAATTTGCCCCACTCCCCAAAGAAGGTATATAGTCAAAGGTTCAAGATGGTGGGGAGGGGTGGAGAGGAGGAACATAATGTGTGGGAAGGCAGCAGGAGAAGTGAGGGATTCTGAAAGGTATTTTTCCTTTTTGAAATGTTACGTTTAATGTATTTCTCACCAAGAAAAGTGCTGTTATGGGTTAAGCAGGCTGCTATGGACTAGCTGGGGAACCTAAATATGATTTATAACTTGGCTTTCCAGGGAAATTGCATCCAGCATTCCAAGAAGCCAATTTACAAGCAAACATTAGGAAAAAAAATTGTAAGTTGGACACTACCAGAGTATAGATTGACTCAGTAGCTCAGGGAAAAAAAGCAATCAATATCCTTGATTTACTTCAATACCTTGCTTCTCACAGTATGTCCCTTGCTTTCCCAAACAGTAAGGAGAAGGGAAGAATGACAGAACACGTGTATTTTATGACAATGTTTATTGGATCTCATAAATCATAAAAGGGTGTCAAGAAGTATTGTCAAACACATCCAGAGGTTACTAAATAGTGAGGTTTTTATTCTTAAAACTATCCCTTCATAAAATAACTAAATAATTTTCTTCTCTCATAAAAAATGTCAGGAAGAGATAGACATATGCACATATGCACTCTCTCAAACTCAGGAAGCTCAAACACTCCTTCACAGGCTCCTAAGGAAAAAATTAAATGATGTTTGATTCACTAGAATAGAATGGGACATTCACATGCAATGGGCCTCTGTTGACTGGAGTTATTCAGCCAAGGAGGCTGAAATGGTATAGGATTATGTAGAATTTAAATGAAACCATTATTTTATTTTTTTTTTAAAGATTTTATTTATTTATTTCACGCAGACAGAGATCACAAGCAGGCATGAGAGGCAGGCAGAGAGAGAGAGGAGGAAGCAGGCTTCCTGCAAGAAGAGAGCCCGATGTGGGGCTCGATCCCATGACCCTGAGATCATGACCCGAGCCGAAGGCAGAGGCCTTAACCCACTGAGCCACCCAGGTGCCCGAAACCATTATTTTAAAAGTAAAATATTGACCATTTCTTAGGAGTGGAAAAGATGTAAATTAAAAACCTATTCTGAGATGTTGAACATTTGTTTTAAATAAACTTCAGGAAGGTGTTCTTTGACTTGATCCACTTGCTGAATTCCCAAATGAAAGACAGGTTTTTTTTTCTAAATTTTTGAGATATAATTTGTATATAATAAATTAACCAATTCCACATTTACAAATTGATGGGTTTTAGAAAGTGTATAAAATCCTATAACTACTGCTACATTTATAATAGAACATACTTCCATCACCCCAGAAAGTTCCCTTGAGTCCCTCGGTGCTCTCTTCCTGTTACCTTCAGACTCTGGTGACCACAGATCTGCTTTTACTATTGTTTTCCTTTTCTAGAATTTTGTATAGATGGACTATTACCATATGCAGTATCCTGTGTCTGGCTTCTTTTACATAGCATAATGCTTTGAGAGTCATGCAGTAGTTTGCTGTGGTCAGTGTTGAATGGCATTTCATAGTGTAGATACACCACAGTTTGTGTATTCATTCACTCGCAGATAGAAAGTGGACTTGTTGCCCAGCTTGTGGGTTTTTTTTTTTTTTTGAGGGGGGCAATTATGCATAATGCTGCTGTAAATGTTAGCAGACAGGTCTTTATGTAGACATAGATTTTTATTTATCTTGGGACATAAGAAAGGATTGCTGAGTAAGTACATGTTGAAATTTATAATAACTGTCAGCCTGTTCTCCCGATTGGCTGGACCATGTTCATCCCCACTGATGATGTATGAGAGTTCCAGGATGTAGACATTCCCCCCAATATGTGTATCATCAGTCTTTTTAAAAATTCTAGCCTTTCTAGTGGGTGTGTACAGGTAATGGAGTATCTTTAACTTGTACTTCCCTAATGTCTGATGATGTTGAATGTCTTTTCATATAATTGTTTGCCATTTGTCTATCTTCTTTGCTGAATTATCTATTCAAAACCTTTAACCAGTATTTTAACCAGACTGTCTGTCTTATTATTGAGTTCTGAGAGTTCTTCATATATTCTGGATATACATCTTTGGTGAGATATGTATTTCCCATATTTTTCTTCTTACCTGACTTGCTGTTGCATTTCCTTAAAGTTTCTCAAAATAATAACTTTTTAACTTTGTTTTTATTTGTGCTTTTTTGCTCTAAGAGATCCTTGCCTAAATCAGAGCCACAAAATTTTTCTTCTATGTTTTCTTTCTTTTTAAAATTATTATTATTTATTTATTTGACACAGAGAGAGCTCACAAGGAGGTAGAGAGGCAGGTGGGGGGTGGGGGGAGCAGGCTCCCCATTGAGCAGAGAGCCCAATGTGGGGCTCGATCCCAGGACCCCAAGATTATGACCTGAGCCGAAGGCAAAGGTTTAACCCACTGAGCCACCCAGGTGCCCTTCTACTATGTTTTCTACTGGAAGTTTTATAGTGTTAGTTCTTTTATTTAGGTTAAAGATCCATTTAGAATTTAAATTTTGTATATAATACAAAGTATGGGTTAATGTTTATTTATGTATTTTGCAGACAGATATGCCATTATTCTAGCATCATTTGTTGAAAACAATATTCTTTTTCAATTGAATTATCTTTGTACTTTTGCCAAAAATCAATCAGTCTTACGGGGTGGCTTACTTCTGCTCGATCTATTCTGTTCCATAGATCTATATGTCTATCCTTACAATAATAATATGTTATCTTGATGGGTATAGCTTTATAATAAGCATTTAAAATCAGGTAGTTTAAGTTCTTTAACATTTTCCTTCTTTTCAAAAATTATTTTGATTATTCTAGGTCTTTAGATATTGGTTCAATATCAGTTTTAGAATCAGCTTGTCTACCTTACAAAATAACCTGCTAAAATTGTGACTGGTGAGGTGTCTGGGGAGCTTAGTCAGTTAAGCATCTGCCTTAAGTTTAGGTCATGATTCTAGGGTCCTGGGATCAAGCCCTGCATCAGGCTCCCTGCTCAGGGGTGAGTCTACTTCTCCCTCTCCCTCTGCCCCTTCTCCAGCTCAGACTCTCTTTCTCATTCACTCTTCCTCAAATAAATAAATAAAATCTTAAAAAAATAAAATTGTGATTGACATTTTGTTCAATCTGTAAATCAAATTAGAGAAAACTAACATCTTAACAATATTGAGTCTTCCAACCCATGGACATGGAATATCTCTGCATTTATTTGTAAATACCTTAGGATTTTCTATGCAAATGGTCCTGTTAACTGCAAATGAAAACTATTTACTTCTCCATTCCCTCACCTAATTGCACTATCTAGAACCTATAGAATAATGCTGAGCATATGCATACTTGCCTTGTCCCCTTTCTTGGGGAAAGGCCTTCATCCTTTCAACATTAAGTATGATGTCAGCTTCAAAAAGTTTGAAGCTATGTTTTTTCAGAGTGAAGAAGTTCTCCCCTAGTCCTAGTTTGCTGGGAAATGCTTGGCCTCTTCAAACTGATTTTTGTCTCCTCAACTCAGTAAGACTACCAGGCTCTGTTTGGGTATATACTACTTCCTGCAACTTGCCATTTGGCAGTACACTGGCATGATTTCAGTTTACCTCATTTTTTTTCCCTTCTCTCTGGGATCATTGTAATGCTTGTTGTTCAAAATCTGGAAACCATTGTTTTATATATTTTGTCTGATTGTTTTGACTTGTTTAATATGTAAGGGTAAATTTGGTATCTGTTACTCCATCATGGTAAAATGAATGCTATAAATTTAACACTGAAAATAAAATTCTATTCCTACTGAGGCAAAGTAAATCTTGCTTCATTCAGTCATGAAAATGAAGCTCAGCTTCAAATAACTAGTAGTCTTAACTTGTTTAGGAGTGGCATCAGCAAGATGGCTGAATAAGACCTCCCTCATAGGTATCCTCCCTGCAATAATCTGGCATTTATCCATGGACAAAGTGCCTTTGTGGGAACTTTGAAAACCAGGTAGGAGATTTGGAATCCATAGTTCAGTCTAAGACTGAGGATGGCCATTTTGAGAAAACAGGCTCACAACCAGGTGGCTGATTTGCCAACTACAGTTACAGACACAGAAACAGGCTCCACACCTGTGAGAACTCAGTTACAGCCCCCTTTGGTTTTAAAGTCTATCATCCGCAATATAGGCTAAGGGACCCAGGAAGAGTCACAGACACCTGTGTGTTGGGTAAAGACATACAGACCTCAGTGCCCACTGTGGACCCTGACATGCCCTGTGAACAGTCTCCAGCCCCTCTCAGCTGTGGTCTAGGAACCCCTGGAGGTAAAGCCCACCGAATATGGTCAGACTGAAAATTCTGAAGTGGCCCTGTAACTGGGGTCCAGCCCATCCCATCCAGTCCATGGGCCCCTGCTGGAGACACTCCCACCTGCATACCTGGAGGTCCTGAAAGGGCCCAATACTAGGCATAAGCTCCCTCTTACCTGTGTCACAGGGAGCTGACAAGGAAAGGCAGGATAAATTCCAATCTGGGCCTCTAGAGATCATAAAATGGCCCTAAATGCAGAAATTTTTTAAATAAATAATATTGGAGAAACTAAATATTCACACACAAAAGAATGAAATTGAACTCTTATTTTATACCACTCATAAAAATAACTTGAAGTGGATTAAAAACTTAAATGTAAGGCCTGAAACCATTAACCTTCTAGAGGAAAACATAGAGAAAACTCTTTGACATTGCTCTTGGCAATGAATTTTTGGATATGACATCAAAAGCACAAGCAACAAAACCAAAAATAAACAAGTAGAACTACATGAAACTAAAAAGCTTCTATACAGCCAAAGAAACAACAGAAAGAAAAAGCAACCTATGGAATGGGAAAAAAAAATATTTGCAAGCTATACATTAGATAAAGTGTTAACATCCTATATATATAAGGAACTCACAGAACTCAATAGCAAAAATAAAATGAAAAATAATAATCCAAATAAAAAATGCGTAAAGAGTCTGAATAGAAAAATTTCCAAAAAACATGAAGATGGGCAACAGGTACATGAAAAGAGGCTCAACATTACTAATCACCAGGAAATGCAAATAAAAGCCACAATGAGATATCACCTCATACCTGTTGGAATGGTATTGTCCAAAAGACAAGAGGCAACAAGTATTGGTGAAGATGTGGAAAAAGAAACCCTAGCGCAGTGTTGGTGGGAATGTAAGTTGATACAACCAATAAGGAAAACAGTAGGGAATTTCCTCAATAAATTTCAAACAGACCTACCATATGATCCAGAAATCCTATTTCTGGGTATATATCAGAATGAAATGAATTCACTATCTCAAGGAGATAGCTGGACCCCCATGTTCATTGCAGCATTATTTACAATAGCCAAGATGTGGAAACTAGTGTTCATCAATCCACAAATAGATTATTTTAAAAAGTGAGATAGATACATACATACGCATATTTGAATATTATTTAGCTAGAAAAAAAGGAAGAAATCCTGTCCTTTGTAACAACATGGGTGGACTTTGAGGGCATTAGGCTAAATGAGTCATATAGAGAAGACATATGTTATATGATCTCACTTATATGTGAAAACTAAAATAAAAAGTCATAGAAACAGATTATAGAATAATGTTCATCATAGGTGGGGGCTAGGGGAGATGGGGAGATGCTGGTGAAAATCTCCAAACTTCCAATTATAAGATGAATAAGTTCTGGGGATCTAATATTCAGCATGATGACTATCTTAACAATGCTGTATTATATACTTGAAAGTTGTTGAGAGAGTAAATCTTGAATACTTTCACCACAAAAAAAAAAGGTAATTATGTGAGGTGATGAATATGTTAATGAACATTATTGTGGTAATCATTTCACAATGCATACATGTACCACATCATTGTGTTGTATACCTTAAACTTATACAATGTTATATGTCAATTGCATCTCAATAAAGCTGGAAAAAAAGGGGCACTGGTTTCCAAGAATAACCAATAAATTTTCCTTCAAATTCCATTTTGGAACCAACAGTTGTATAGTATCAAGGCATAGTAATACCCAAACCTAAAAACTTGTTCTTAATGTTGATCACCTAATAGGAGCTATTTTAACATATTATCAGGCTCAATTTTTAAATATCATGCCTCTGGAGCATGAATAGACAAATAGACCAAATGAAATGGACAGTTCAAAAGCAGACATATATGTATTGCTAACCATAGCATTTCAAATCTATGGAGAAAATATATTTATGTCGTTTTTGCCCCTTCAGAATCCTCCAATAACTTCTTAGCTCAGGACAGCTCAATTCAACATTACTCTGATTAAATCTGGCCCAATGAACTGTCTACTTCCTTATAATCTTCAAAGTGGACATAAGCTGGTTTAAGAAGAAATCTTATTTGGCACTATCCTTTGAACATCAATTGTTTTGTTTATCCATGTACAGGTAAGTATTACACATGTTATTTGAAAGAAAGATCCCGAATTATGGGTTCCTCCCCAGCGCTGTGAGGCATGCAAACCCAGTATTTAGAAATAAAGTTTTTTGAATCTTGGAAGAAAAACAACTACAAACAGCAAATGTTGGTAGTGGTAGTGTGGTGATAACAACCCATTATTATTCAAGAACACACAGGTTTCCATCATTAAAATATTCTATTAAAAAACCCAACTTATTTATAACCTTCATTTGTGGAGAAGCCTGGGGCATGAGAGGAATAACTAAATTATATTTGTGCAATCTCATGTTCTTCTGTAATTATCCGTTGGCACGTATGCCCGTGGTTCTTTGAATTTTTAACGTGTCTGGATTTGTACATGTACATCTAGGGAAGTTGCTGGTGTTGTTGACTGTGAATTTCCCCTCCTTAGTGTTTGACCCAACATGGCACCCAGGTTTTTCACTATGCTTCCTTAGGAGCTTGCTCTTTATAAGAATTGGCTGAAGTTGTCTGCAAGTAGAAGTATGAGACAGTAAAAGAGGCTGTGATTCTGGAAGGTGGCAACATTCAGAAAATAATTTTACCCTGCTTTCCCCTTCCAAACCCTGTCTAGACATTACTGAAAATGAATCACAGCCAGGTGACCTACTTGGTCCTCTAATATGTAGTTACCTAAATTTGCAGTATTAAGAATTTTTGACATTTTTTTCTTACTTTCAGATTCCTTATTTTTTCCTTTCTTTTAATACCTTCCCTCTGCTCTGTCTTCTAGTTTTTTGTTTTGTTTTTGTTTTGCTTTGTTTTTATCCTGAAGAATGATATAAATGGCTCTCTCAACTGTTTTTAGTTACTGCATTCACGATCACCTTTCATGTCTCCATATTTTGGTTTCATGCTATTCCTTTTGGCTAGAATACTTTCACCATCTTTCTTTCCTGGGTTACTTGTATATATTCTTCAATGTTCAGCTAAGACACTATTGAATGTACTAAGTTGTTTTAAGTTATATGCCCAACTTATATATAAATGTCTCCAAATGAATGAATGAAAGCATAAATGAAGGAAATATTCCCTAAATTTTCTCCTTCCTGTATCTTCTTCCCCACAGTTCCAGAACAAGAGCTTTATGTCAGTCTACTAATATATACTAATAATATGAGCTCTACATCTCACTGCCTCTCTGGGTTCAAATCCTGGCTCTCCCCACTAAATAGCTATGCAGTCATTTTTCCTTGTAGCTCAATATCTTCATCCCTGCAATTGTGAGCATAGCAATATCACCTGTGTAGGGTATTTGAGGATTCAATGAGATAATACATGAAGTGCCTAAAATAGCACCTAAGCATGCTACAGAAATAGCTGTTATTAGGAATAAGAGCTCATTTTTTATATCACATTCACTGCTTTGTCAACTCTACAATTTGATTGTCTACTCAAGTTTCTCCTAAAATTACAAACTTTTCATGCTATCACAAGAAAGACTGCTCAAGGGACACCTGGGTGGCTCAGTTGGTTAAGCAGCTGCCTTCGGCTCAGGTCATGATCCCAGCGTCCTGGGATCGAGTCCCACATCGGGCTCCTTGCTTGGCGGGGAGCCTGCTTCTCCCTCTGCCTCTGTCTGCCTGTGCTCGCTCTCTCTCTCTCTCTCTCTCTCTGACAAATAAATAAATAAATAAAATTTAAAAAAAAAAAGAAAGACTGCTCAAATGTGACAGAATGTGAAAATTATGCTTTTTATTTTATCACATAAAATAGTTACACCAAGTTGTCCAAATGCATTGGTGAATTAAAGCTTCCAGCTCTTACAAATTTTTATACATATATCTATGCATTTATAAATACACACATATGTAAAAGATATATATTTTCTTCTAAAATAAAGTGCCCAAATCTTGATATATGGGGGCATAATAGGGAAAAAAAAATCATGAAGTTTAATCAGTTGCAGACTATACTTTCACAATCTAGGAATCTGTTTTATACACATTTATTCGGGGATACTGAACTTCAAACACTCATTCTTTTCTGAATTCTAAGTGAATTAATTTATCCAAAATAATAGAAGAAGTCATGTAGACAATTTAATGAATCAGAGACTAATTTTTCTTACTGTGCCCGGCATTAGAGCCTTGGCTCTCCAATGGAAGGGAAATTTAGCTTCATTCTTAATTTTCCTGTTTTTTTGGACTGTTGTCTTTCTGCTAAGATGATAAACAGAGAGACAGAGAAATGAATCAGACATCTCCAATTCTAAATCCTCTGTTAGCATTCAGTGAAGTCAGAGTTTGGTGAAAAGTCTCTTAATGTCTTTACATTACCCTGGGCTTGGTGAGAAATGACCTAGCAGGATTTGAATTGAAGGATCCTTCTGCCTCTTATAATGAAATCTTGTTGAAGCCACAGAAGAAGAATCAGAGTACAGTGATCAAGAGCTCATTGAGAACCCATTCAAATTGAAATGGAACTCTACTACAGTGGAAAACTTTGTGAAAATGTGCTCGAATTTAAGAACAAAATAAGAGTTAAAGAAAAACTAGACAATTTGAGATAATTAAGAAAATCTTCATTTCAAAGAGGAACTAGGGCTCTACTTCCTGCTCCAGTATCTCAGCGGCTCTTCCCAGATTTTTACTGTATTTTCTATTACTTTCCACTTTTAAGACGATCATTTGAAGTCTTTGACAAGGAATAGAATGTCAAAATGCCTTAGAAAAGCCTTCAACCTATTCAAGCAAGGTGAGGATGCCTAAAAATAGCTTAATATGAACCCAGCCATTTCAGAATCTCTGGTGATTACAGGTTCAAACTACAATAGAGTGTATCTTATTCAAGCAGGAAAAGGGGAAATTGTCTGCACTAAAATTGCATAAAACACTCTATAACTTCTCAACATATGGGGACCTGGGAACAATGGGAAGCCCAGACATTTTCCAGAGTCAGTACAAGGAATGGAGTATTTTCTTTTACTTTGGACAGGGGAAGGGGGGGAAAAGGGCAAGAAAGTGTTTCCAATTACCTCCCCTACCTCCATTGGGCCTTTGCAAGAACAGAGCCACTTAACTACTGATTTTGGTGAGCATCTTATT